TGTGAGTCACTTTGTGCTGTTTCAAGTGATTTGGCTGCGTGAATTCTTTTTGGCATATATTGCATCGATATGGTTTCTCGCCGGTATGAGTACGCATGTGTGGTTTTATAGCTGATTTGTAATTGCTGGAATATTCACAAACTTCGCACTGGAATCGCTTCTTCGTACCCAGTGTGTTCGATGAAGTTGACTTTTTATTACGCAATGATTTTGGAGTCGACCCAGATTCAGCATGTTTTCTTTGACTTCTAATGGATCTTCCTGTCATGTTGTTTCTTTTGGTACCACCGACGTCGTTTGCTTCATTGTTAAAATTGAGAGTTGATCTGTTTTGGCCCGTTGTGTTCATAGCACGGTGTACATCGATGGCAGCTATCGGAATGCCATCATCCAATTCTATTTCCTCCGCTTTCATTGCGTTTTCCATTACATTCCTAATACCAACATCCACATATCTGTTCTTCGAAACATCTCCTTGATAATCAAACATGTTTGTTTTCATGTCAGACATTTCGGTGTAGCTTCCATCGTTGTCAAATTCAACATAATCGTTTGATTGATGTGATATGCCATGGCCATCGTATCGAATGGTACGTTCCATTTTCGATGCTTGATCCTCTTCGTCGCTCGAGTCAATGATTTCAAATGGGTCATTGGTTGTTTGTTGGATATCGTTTATGTCATACCTTGGAGTATGAAACAAATTCGGATATTCGTCGGTTGCTGACGTGCTCGCATCCTCGAATATCGAACTGATTTCGAATTCATCGTACGAAGTCTTTATCCTGCAAACAATTATTAGTTATTATTACAAAATTATTATTATTGTTTTTACTCACCGATCATACGAAACGCGCAGAAAATATTGCTTGAAATCATTGTTGATCGCGAGACCATTGCGGCCAAATGTCATTTTGATATTTTTCAAAGTAAATTTTACTTGGGAATTAAACGTACCAAGCATATTGTCCATCTCATCATTCCAGGTCAACATTTTCGGAATTTTAACTAAATGAGAATGGAAAACAAGCAAAACAATTTATCGATTGAAAATAATGAAGGCAATCATGAAATATCAAGCCAGTACTCGAGCTAGCTGGACTGTATTTGCCATTGAAATCGATTGAAAGTTACTATTTAGATCGTACATATGTGTATAAGATACAATGCCCATTACTGGATTTGGCAATTAAATGTAGTAACTAAACATATGGCTTGAGTTGTTATATAAAAAGCGAAACTGTAACCAAATTTCCATATAAATTTATTTAAACAAATCAGAAACTCAGTTTGAACCAGAGGTTGCTGCGAATATATGAATATGCTAGTTGGGCGCATTACACGCCATTTTACATGATTTTCGATATCGTCCTTACCTTTTTTAAGTTTTGACCAACAAATTTCCACGATATGAAATGCTGTTAAGCGAATACCGGAATGTTTACAGTAAATTCAAGGCTAACACAAAGTATTATTTCGTTGAAAATTGATTTTATTTCTTTGGTGATTTTAATGTTTCGAGATAAAAACTTGTCGAAGATATGTTGTGCAACAAATGGAATAACTTAATTTTATGCAAACTATCAATGACAGCTATAATAGCTGCCAAAACTAATTCGCTGCCTTTTCTAAGCACAAGCGAAACCAGTTGTGGCAACAAAAAGAATGGGCTTTTTGAACGAATTGAATGGATTGAAGAATATCATTTATTATTCAAATTCAAATACAAATAAGGATTGAAGTCCTTATCAAATAATCAAAATTTATTGAAATTCATCATTTGCCATGAAGACTCAGACGAGCTTGTTTTAATCTATAATTTTGAATTTATTTTTAGCTTAAATGATATTTGGAAAAGAAGACCGAAAAGTCCTATGTTACTGCAATGTTGATGTTGATGATGTATTGAAAAAGATTGAAACCTTTAATGGTTGATTCTGGTGTGAATGGTTTCCAAATGTTTCTTCAGATGACATTTCTGCGTAGAAACCTTCAAACAAATCTAACAACGAAACGGTCTTTCACCGCTGTGCTTTTGCATATGCATTTTCAAACGAGTTTTGTCAGCAGTGACATACTTCTTACAGATATGGCATTCATATCGACGTATTTTGCACACTTTTTCATGGGCATCTTTTTTGGTCTTCTGGAAAAATCCATTGAAACAGCCTCGGCAATGAAATGGAACTTGATCGGTATGAGTCTTTTTATGTCTCTTAAGGTTCTGCATAGTTGTGAACTCTTTGCCGCATATATCACATCCATGTGGCTTCTCGCCGGTGTGAGTACGCATGTGACGATTAACGTGCCCCATTTGATTGCTGGAGTATTCACAAAGTTGACACTTGTATCGATTCTTTGTCCCCATTGAGTTTGAAGAAGTTGAGTTTTTATTCCCAAATACTTGTGCAGTCGAGCTCAACTCAGTCTGTTCTCTTCCAGATTTTCCTGTCATGTTATTGCTTTTGAAATCATTATCGTTGTTTGATCGATTGCTCAAAGGAACAGAAAATGTGCGTTCGTTGATCAAGTCCATATCGCGACGTCCATTGAAGGCAGTTGATGGAATTTCACCGTATACTTCTATTTCTTCTGCTTTCATTACGTTGTCAGTTTCCTTCTCGATGCAATTCTGTCTATTCTTCCGCCAGTTAATATCTTTCGAGATCATGTATGGCATGGTATTGGCGTAGTTTCGATCATATTCAGTCTCAAAATCATCGTTCAATTCGGGTGGTATGTGATTTCCATCGCTTAGAATGCCGAATACTGTTTCTGGTGATTCCAATTTAACCGGATATTCTGTCTGATCTTCTTCATCGCTTGAGTCAATGAATTCGACTGGGCTATCGGTTGATAACATGTCCCCATGTGCACCAAATTGGACTTTGCCCGTCAACATGGAATTTATTTTGAATTGATCATATGTTTCCTCGATGCTGCAAATGATTAAATTAAAATGAGATAATCGATTGAAATTGACGACTTATTCACTAACCGGTAATTTGAAGCTCGCATGAAATATTGCTTGAATTCATCGTTGAGTGATAAGCCACTGGATTTGAAAGCCATGTCAATCTTCCCCAAAGAAATCGTTGCCTGACGTTCAAATTCCGAAAGCATCGTGTGCATTTCGCGTCTCCAGTCCATTGTTGATGCCTCCATCTAAGAATGAAAATAAGAAGAATTAATTTTGTACATTGTAGTAAGAGTGAATCTTTAAATCTGAACTGAATAATAATTTATTTGTTCATAGTGCCGAATACGGCCTACTAAACTTAGCATGTTACAGGACATTCGAATTCTGAAGAATGCTTTCTACACCGTCATGCTAATGGACTTCATATTGTTGTTTTTTATCAAAGTGTTTTTTTCAATGATGTTAGTTTTGATATTAATCTTGAACGGAAATGTCCTTCCTTATTTGAACCGAATATTTGAGAATTTTTGAATAATTTCTACCAATTTTCTGCGCAATTCTCAAAATAATTCATGGAGTAGCAAAATGTTCCAATAAGTTCTTACCTTTAGCGGAAAATATTAATCAGCGGAAAATATATTAATTTAATTCTAGATCTCTTATTAGAGAAATATTTTTCTGGATTAATCAGAAATAGTGAAATCAACTAGTAATCTGACTCTTGTGAGTTTCAACTGGTTTGATAAATACCGTAAGATAGTCAGAGAATGGTGGGAAATATGTTTTGTACAAGGCGACACGTGATGACACTGTCGATGCAATCGATGATATGAACTGTCAAAATAGTGTTTCGCCATACTCGAACTTCTTTCCGACGAATTCGATTCGCTGTTGTGATTTTTGAATATTTTTTGCCAGCGAACGTGTTAATTTTAAATTAAGACAGTAATTAAAGGAAATAAGTTCATTTGATAAAAAAAGTGTATTCTGGAAATTGTTAAAGCCATTGTTTCTTTGGTATAAATAAAATTGAATTGATTTTATCTGAATTGTATTAACATTTATTGAAAGCATTTTTAATTGATTAATTAAACATAGGAAATTCAATTTGTTTTATGTCTGTAATTCAATAGAGTTACATTGAAATGATGAAGTGAAATCGAGTGAATTTATGGGTTGATTCTGGTGTGAATGGTGTCCAAATGTCTCTTCAGATTCCATTTTTCTGTAAAACGCATCATACAAATCTCGCACCGGAACGGTCTTTCACCGTTGTGCGTTCGCATATGCCTTTTCAAATGAGTTATACGAACAATGACATACTTCTTGCAGATATAACATTCATAGCTACGCGCTTTGCATAATTTTTCATGCGCATCAATTTCGGCCTTTCGAGAGAATCCACTGAAACAGCCACGGCAATGGAACGAAAATTCCTTTGTGTGAGTCCCTTTGTGCTGTTTCAATTGATTTGGCTGCGTGAATTCTTTTTGGCATATATCACATCGATATGGTTTTTCACCTGTATGAGTAAGCGTATGTTTCTTGAAGTCCCACTTGCGATTGCTAGAATATTCACAAAGTTGACAGTTGAATCGCTTCTTCGTAACCATCGGGTTTAATGAAGTTGACTTTTTATTACGCAATATTTTTAGAGTTGAACCCGATTCAGCCGGGTTTTTTTGACGTCCTACGGATCTTCCTTTCGTGTCATTCTTTTTGGCACCATCGACGTTGTTTGCTTCATTGTTTAAAGTGACAGTTGACGTGTATTTGTTCATTGTGTTCATAGCACGGTGTACATTAATGGCGGCTATCAGAGTGCCATCGTCCAATTCTATTTCCTCCGCTTTCATTGCGGTTTCCATTTCATTCCTAATACCAACCTCCACATATCTGTTCTTCGAAACATCTCCTTGATAATCAAACATATTTGATTTCGTGTCAGACATTTCGGTGTAGCTTCCATTGTCGTCAAATTCAGTATAATCGTTTGATTGATGTGATATGCCATGGCTCGAGTCAATGATTTCAAATGGGTCATTGGTTGTTTGTTGGATATCGTTCATATCATTCCTTGGAGTATGAAATAAATTCGGATATTCGTCAGTTGCTGACGTGCTCGCATCCTCGAAGATTGATTTAATTTCGAATTCATCGTACACATACTTGATCCTGCACTCAATTGACAATAATTAATTATAATTGCAAAATTACGCATATTGGTTTTCACTTACCGATCATACGAAACACGCAAAAAGTATTGCTTGAAGTCATCATTGAACACAAGACCATTGCGTTTGAGGGCCTGTTTAATATTGCTCAAGGAAAATTTGACTTGGTATTCGAATGCAACAAGCATTTGGTTCATCTCATCACTCCAGCTCAGCATTTTTAACTTTTGGTTTGGTATTATTTTGAAACTTTTGACTTAACTAGAAAGAATGGAACGCAACCAAACAAATATATTAATTAATTGTATTGAACATCGTACTACGATGATCGTAGCTTTCATACTACTTCTCGAACTATCTAGTGTGTGTGTACACGATACTTGGCCACTAGACACCATTTTACATAACTTCAGATAATGACACGTATCCTTACTTAGTAATACTTACGTTTTGATGCATAAATTCCAGCAATATGAAATGCTCTTATGCGAATAACGGAATGTTTGCAGTAAATATAAAAAACTACAAAGTATTATTTCGATGAAAATAGAGTTTATTTATTTAGTTTTGATGCTTCCACATTGAATCGTGTGTAAAACGTGTTATACAACAAATGAAATAAAAGAAATTACGTCAAATTTAATACGATTATGCAGTAGCAATAAGCTGTCAAAACGAATTCGGCTGCCATCTAGTATTAGAACCTAAACAAAGCGAAATCATTTACGGCGACAGACGGGCGAAGTTTGATTATGACCCAATTGAATGGATTTGAAAATATAATTTACTTTTAACGGTTGTTTATAAATCCACACAATCAGTGACTCAAATGATAGAATTTTCTTATCAAATAACTTTGTCAAATTTATTGGAATTGATTATGGTATATGAACATTTGAGATTGTTTTTAGCTTAAATAATGTATTGAATCATAGCATGAATAAATGTAAAAAATGTTGAGTATATTGTAAAGATGAAAGAGAGCCTTTATGGGTGGATTTTGGTGTTGTCCAAATGTGTCTTCAGATTACATTTGAGCGCAAAACGCATCATACAAATGTGGCATCGAAACGGTTTTTCACCGTTGTGCGTTCGCATATGACCTTTCAAATGAGTTATACCAACAGTGACATACTTCTTACAGATATGACATTCATAACTACGCACTTTGCATAATTTTTCATGGCCATCTCTTTCGATATTTTGGGAAAATCCACTGAAACAGCCACGGCAATGGAACGGAAGTTCCTTTGTGTGAGTCACTTTGTGCTGTTTCAAGTGATTTGGCTGCG